TTTTTTTGGCCTAAATTTATGAGAAATTTTTTTTTTTTTTTTTAATTTTTTTCTGGAATGTTTAATAGCAAAAAAGTCAAAAATATTGTGTGTTTTTTTTTTTTCTCAAAATTGTCGGTCCTTTTTTTTTTTGTTGTATACAGCGAAAAAATAAAACACACAGGCAATCAAATACCACCAAAAGAATGCCTTTATTTGTGGGGAAAAAAAGGATGTAAATTCCAATTTTGGTGGCAGCTTTGTATGACTGCGCAATTGTCAGTTAAAATTAACGCAGCGCCGTAATGCAAAAAAATGGCCCTGGTTCAGGAAGGGTTGTAAATCCTCAGGAGGGCAAGTGGTACATAATAACTTTATAACAGTTTATTGTAAACCTATCCCTCATATCCTACTCTGTGTAACTCATCTAAGCAGCTGTGAAGAGGCTAAATACGTCAATTCTAATTTGCAATATATGAACCATTGTTTCCATATCTGTGCTAAACAAGGGCTGTGCTCTGCTGCTATCACCAAAATGGCTAGAAGAGGGTTAAGAATGTCAAAGAAGTCTTTATTCAGTTGTCATGGATAATTGTGTAAAATTTATTAAGGATAACCTTTTTCGGTCAATAAGCAAATGTCTTTGAGTCAAATGTGTTTGAAATTTAAAGCCAATAAAGATGTGCTCGTATGATTTTCATAGAAACACATATGTTGACCCCCAGGATTTTTTTTTTAAGATAGATTGTGGTGACCTAGCCGCCTCTCTTGAGAACCATTTTTTACATACTTGCTTGTCAAAGAATGAATTTGTAAAGACAGTTTCCGGGAATGAAATGTTCTCTATCAGTGGGAGAAAAGCCAGACAAAACTCTGTAATGCTTTCCAGAGATAGCCGAGCATTTCACGCTATTAGCACGAATCGCATAGAGCAGACCGCTTACTGACTAGTCTGCAGGCATGCCCAGGCATTTTCCTGTTCCCCCAGCCTTTTACCTTATAAGGAAAAAATCCTTCGCATTCTGAAGCCCACAATGTATAAAGGGAAAAGGTGGAGGTTCCCATGACGTATGGTGCTTATCTTTTAGTCAGCTGTACCTCCTCTACTCGGCCCATTTCTCACACTTTACTTCATTCTTGGTTCATACATTAAATGTGTTGCCAGTTAGGTTATATATACTGTGTATGATTTCCATTACACATTCACAGCCCCCATCTTTACAGCAATGGAGCAGGAAACAGAATAACTTTCAGTTATTTGTGAGTTTCTGATTTTACTTTAATGTCTTTTTATTCTGACTTTTCATGGAGACAAGAACCATTTAGGACCCGTGTGGCGACTCTTTCTCTCCTTCAGGTGCATGTAAATGTCATTACATACATTTCCACATGCATCATATTGGCAAGTTTTAACATGATTGCATGACTTCGTTTATTCAGTAAGGAAAAACAACTGTGCCTACAGTGTTAATTGCAGGTTCGCAAAATACTTTCAAAATCTTTACAAATGTTTTTTTTTATACTGAGGACCACCCTATTTTTTACCTACGTGGAGAGTGTCCCTCCCTGTCCTCAGCTTACATACAGCAGCGGGTCAACTAATGCCCTGATTAACCTAGAGGAGGCGCAGACGGGGCTATCTTGTCCCCCCAGGCAAGTGAGACCCATGTGTAGGAAGGTCTGCCCACTGAATTTTATTCCCTGTATGCTGATCTTCACATCTGTGTTCCAGCTGTTTAAACGCAATAATGTTTGTTCCTTGCTGTCAATGTCTGAAGAAGTTACTTGCACCTAAGCTGGGTAAAGATCAGACAGTTGTCTCATATTTGACCAGTTTCTCTACTAAAACATGGATGCTAAGTTACTAGCAATTGCCCATACAGAAAGGCGGTCTTGCTCTCCCCAGCTTCCCCAACTTTACTATTGGGCCTATCAGTTCTGGTGGATGGTAATACAGTGGGTTTGGTGCAACCTACAGATACACAAGAATGCAGATGGAGGCAACTCTTTTTGGTCTTTCGTCCGCTCCGAAAACGTGTAGCAAATCTTGGGTCTTTAGAGTCATCTAGCCCATATCCCAATATAACCTTCACAAAAAATAGCGTTGGAGAATAGAAAACAGCAACACGGATTTCTCAGACTTAAAACGATTTCTTTAAAGGTTCTTTTTTTTTTTTTTTTTTGATGCTTCTATTTAAATAAATAGAAACATGCTTCATACTTTACCTACTGTGTGTAGTGGTTTTTGCACAGGTCACTCCTCTCTCAATAGGGCCCTTGCATTGTCCTCCTGGCTCCCATTACCTGTAAATGTCGACTGCCCCCCACAGCAAGCAGCTTATCTATGGGGGGCACCCGCTGCTAAATCCATGTGTCCATTCACACACACAGCCTACAGCTTGGCCCTGCCCCTCCTCTCTCTTCATTGGCTGACTGGCCTATGGCTCCACGCTTGCTGTCCTCTGCCAATGAGGAGGCAGAGACCCAGAACAACCTAAGCTTCATTCACATTGCTGGATCGCAATGAGGCTCAGGTAAGTATTGAGGGGGCTGGGGGATCTGCTGCACACAGAAAGTGTGAATGGTAAAAAACCTTCAGCCTTTACAGCCACTTTAATCAGTGGTCCTTCTTTTAGCCAATAAGGAGCAGACTTACCTGCTCTGCTTTTCAGTCAATACCAGACCCCCAATTGTGGTATGATATGGTGTGAAAACATTTTTAGCACTATACAATGGGACCATTCCAACTTTCCGGACCCTAAACTTGCGTAAGATTTACCCAACCAGATAGTGTCTTCAACTGCACCATAAAGCACAGTCTCAGATTTCTTCCCAACGAATTACACTTTAAGCAAACCAGTAAAATCAGGTGATAAGTAGGGGCCTTATGAAACCTCTCTATTCTCTTTACACATGTCTACTTTTGCTTTGACTCAACCAAACTAATTTGTGTATAGCCTTGGTAACACACAAACATACTGATCGAGCGTGCATGCCTGGGGCAATGCTCCAAACATCTACTATAATCTAGAGATGAGCTGATCCAAACCCTAAGTGTACACTACACAGCAGAGGGCCTATGTGGGAATTGCCCCAGATACACTTCACATGTCATTCTTGCACATGTCCTGGATGTGCCACCACAGACAATGTGTCTTGATCTAGTATCTTCTGTGATTTAATTCTAGATTGAAACTTAACTTACAGCTGAGCCTTTGGTGCTACTAGGTGTGCATGAAGTTAAACAACTGCCTCGAATACCTCTTCTACTTTGCCCAAAGATAAACTAAACCCTTTTTTTCAGTGTATTATACATTTTAAGTTCTAAGTTCCTATTGCTATTTTTCTCTTTTTTTTTTTTAATTTCTTGAATAAATAATATGGATATGATAACAGAAGCTGTGTAATGGCACATTTGAGATATACATTCATGCATTCTCTTTTCTCTGTTTCAGGCTGAAGGAGAAGTAGCTGCCTTAAACCGTCGTATCCAGCTTGTAGAAGAAGAGTTGGATAGAGCTCAGGAGCGTCTTGCTACAGCTTTACAGAAACTGGAAGAAGCAGAAAAGGCAGCTGATGAGAGTGAGAGGTAATAATAAAATGCTTTAATACATGCTTCTAGTCTGGGCATGTGTGTTTGATACTATTCTTGTTTTATCTAGCAAACAAAGTGCTTTTTAAATGCCATCATTAGAATTTGATGGTAGCCAGGAAAATGGAGCTCAGTGCTCAGCACTATGACCTTGTAGAGCTGGAGTCCAGGGTCCAGATCCTCCAAGAAACACTGTTGTGCATGCAGATGTATGTTCCCTTTTGTGATGATTTTCTTCTGTAGTCCAAAAACTTTCTAGACGTTAAATATATTCCACCCTATTGTTGTAGCTGTAGTAGGGACAGTAGAGTGTTTGTTTTTTTACAGGGACTAATTTTCAAAGGCCGTCTACTTGTTGAAAATACTGCTGAATTTGCTGGTGCTGTGTAAATAACAAAAATAAACATCTAACAGCTGAACAAATTTGTAGACCCTTCCTTTTCTGCAATACAGCTTTGCACATTTCTGAAAAACTAATGCAGAAACAAGTGACTTTTACTGTTTGCAGACAGACTTTTAATATAGGTTCAAAGGTAAAGCAAACAGTTGATCGATTACTGTGAACTAGATCAACAAGTGAGACTTAATTTTTTTTCACTATTGGGAGACCACTGTGTCATTTGGTCTTTTTCTAGCATGTATGTTTGTCGGGGTAGGAGTAGTTCATCTTGAAGATCATTTTCTGGACAAATATCCATACTCTCAGCCTTTTAAAAAATCCCCCCCCCCCCACCCCAAAGCACCTGGCTTCCCTCAAAATCCATACAGACCCTAAGGGCTTGGTATGGATGAGAAGGGGGACCCCACGCCATTTTTTAAAAATTATTTTTTAATTGCTGGCAATTCTTTTTATTATATTCAGCTGTCAGTGGGAACCCTGCTGACAGCTGAAATATGATGCATGCTTTTCACTACTAAAATTCCACATGACTTGATAAAATCATGCAGTATTTTAGTAGCCTTTTTTAGTGGATTCAAAAGGGGCATTTTTTTTTTTTCAAAATGCTATGCGGTATCCTACCGGATACTTGGATGCGGTAGGATACCGCTTAGTGAATTGTGCTCTGGATATGGACCAGTCAAAAAATGCTTCTAAATGCAAACGCTTATAAACACGGTTAGCCTTATTTACAGGCGTTTGGCATTTGAAACGCTGATAAAATCTACTCCCGAATGCAAGTTTGGTGCATTCAAAAAAAGACTGTGAACTCAACTGCCTGTAAACGACATAGTGTACATGGACACACAGGAAAACATTTAAGGAGAGTTCAGGGGCTGCAAAAAAACCCATAAAAGCTTTTGAAAATGAGTTTATCAGCTGCAGTGTACATGAGCCCTAAGGCTGTTTTTTTAAATCACTTTCCACTATCCTTGTCCCTCATCTGCGCCTCTTCTAGGAGTGGAGGCTTCCATGCCATCCAGGCAGCAATGGGAGCACCCAAAGAAGGACCCGTTTGCAGTAAGAAAAAATAGATTTGAGACCTGGCACGTCACAAGGCCACAGATTAAAGGATAAGTTCACCTTTTCGTAAAAAAAAATAATAATTGCATATATTTTTACAGAAAAAAGTGTGCATTTATTATTTTTTTCCTGCAGGAGCCTGGAAAGCATTGTACCCTTGGTCAGTGGATCAGAGGTACAATGGTCTGGCTTCAGCAGACATACCCTGCATCTTTCAGCCCATATTTCCATATGGGCTTTCAGTTTTGAAAGCTGCAGAGCTTGGAAATGAACTGTCAGCACCCTTGCAGTTCATTCAGAACTAAAAGCCATTTGCTGATGGTACGTGTAGTTCATTAATTTACAGGAAACTGTGAATGAATGATGCCGCAGTGCAGGTAGAGCCCCCGCACTGCCACTCTGACTTTCTGAAAGTTAGAAGAACACCACAATTGGTCTGAAAAAATAAGGCCTTGTGCACATTGGACTGCTCCTAGGTTGGGTTGTCTGACATTTTTTTTTTTTTTTTTTCTGCATCTGAGCTGCCTGCATGTTGGTCTATGTGTTTGTGCACACATAGGCTTTTAGATGAGTTTAAAGGCAAAAGAAAATATACTGCCAGTGCATCATGGAAGTAGCAGCGTTTTAGCTGAAAAAAACGCTAGGTGCGTTTAGTGCTTAAGCATTAATGCATTTCATTGCCCGAATTATAATTTATACTGGTCACTGAAATGAATTAACACCCAAAGGCTTGACATGGCTAAATGCGTTACATACTTTTATTACAAGTGTCAAAACATTTTTTCTGCCAAAATTCCTCTGCCAGGAAGAAAGACCTCTGAGAGAGAGAGAAAACGTCCTGTGCGCATGAAGCCTAAAAGTAATGCAGCCGCCAATTGTAAGCTGCAATATAATATGTTTTCTGTTCTTGTGTTTTAGATATACTTTTAAGGCTTCATATAGAAATGAGATTCCTGTCATTGTTTGTACCAAATCATTATACTGACCTCTCAAAAACCTTTTGCAGTATATACAGAGAAGAGGGTCAAAAAAGACCCATCTTATTATATTAATGAAGTAAACCTAGAAAATGCTATCTACAGAGACTGTAGAACACCACCAGTTGCATTAGCATCAGAGTTGGCTGTTTAGCAGAATAGATCATTTATTACAGGTACTTATATAGTATAGCGCCATCCATTTACGCAGTGCATATATATATATATATATATGTATGTATGTATGTATGTATGTATATGTGTGTGTGTGTATTTATAATGTGTATATATATGTGTATATATATGTGTGTATATATGTGTGTATATATATGTTTTGTTTATATTGTGTGTATATATATGTGTGTATATATATGTGTGTATATATATGTGTGTTATATATATTTTGTATATATATGTGTTTTATATATATGTTTGTATATATATTTGTTTATTATATTTTGTTATATTTATATTTGTTTGTTATATATTTATATGTTTTTTTTTATATTATATATTTTGTTTTATTTATATTGTTTTGTGTATATATATATGTGTGTGTTTTTTATATATATTTTGTGTGTATTATATATATTGTGTTTTGTATTTTATATATATATGTTTTTTTATTTATATATTATGTTGTGTTTATTTTATATATGTGTTTGTGTATATTTATTGTGTGTATTATTATATGTGTGTATATTATGTGTGTTTTTTATGTTATGTGTATTTTTTTTTATGTTTGTGTATGTGTATATATATATATATGTTTATTTTGTATGTGTATATATTTATTTTGTGTATTGTTTTTATATATATATATTTGTATGTGTATATATATTTATATGTTTGTATATGTGTATATTTAATTATATGTATGTATATGTGTATATATATATATGCATCATCAGTCACTAACCCTCAGGGACCCTAAGGTCCCTAACTCACATTCATATGTAAAGTGGATGTAAAAAGTCTACACACCCCAGTTTAAAATGTCAGGTTTCTGTGTTGTAAAAAAAAGAGACAAAGATAAATAATTTCAGAACTTTTTCCACCTTTAATGTGACCTATAAACTGTACAACTCAGTTGCACAGCAAACTGAAAAAATATAAAAACTAAAATAATATGGTTGCATAAATGTGCACACCCTTAAACTAATACTTTGTTGAAGCACCTTTTGATTTTATTCCAGCACTCAGACATTTTGGGTATGAGTCTTATCGGCATGGCACATCTTGACTTGGCAATATTTGCCCACGCTTCCTTCCAAAAAAACACTCCAAATCTGTCAAATTGCTAGGGCATCTCCTGAGCACAGCCCTCTTCAGATCACCCCACAGATTTTCGATCATTGCTGGGCCATTCCAAAACTTTCATCTTCTTCTAGTGATGATGCCATTCCTTTGTTGATTTGGATGTATGCTTTGGGCCGTTGTCATGCTGAAAGATGAAGTACCTCTTCATGTTCAGCTTTCTAGCAGAAGCCTGAAGGTTTTGTTCCAATATTGACTGGTATTTGGAACACTTCATAATTCCCTCTACCTTGACTAAGGCCCCAGTTCCAGCTGCAGAAAAACAGCCCTAAAGCATGATGCTGCCACCACACCATGCTTCACTGTGGGTATGGTGTTCTTTTGGTGATGTGCAGTGTTGTTTTGGCGCCAAACATATCTTTTGGAATTATGGCCAAAAAGTTCAACCTTGGTTTCATCAGACCATAACACATTTTCTTAAATGTTTTTGGGAGACTTTAGATGTGTGTTTTTTTTTTTTTCTTCAAAATTTAGCCATGCTTTGATGTTTTTTTCTTCGTAAGGAAAGGCTTCTGTCTTGTCACTCTACCCCATAGTCCAGACATCTGAAGAATACGGGAGATTGTTGTCACATGTACCACACAGACAGTACTTGCCAGATTCCTGCAGCTCCTTTTAATTTTGCTGTAGGCCTCTTGGCAGCCTCCCAGACCAGTTTTCTTGTCTTTTCATCAATTTTGGAGGGACGTCCAGTTCTTGGTAATGTCCCTGTTTTACCATATTTTCTCCATTTGATGATTACAGTCTTCACTGTATTCCATGGTATATCTAATACCTTGGAAATTCTTTTGTACCCTTCTCCTGACTGATACCTTTCAACAAAGGTATGCTCTGATGCTTTGGAAGCTCTCTGCAGATCATGGCTTTTTCTGTAGGATGCGACGAAGAAAATGTCAGGAAAGACCTACTAGAACAGCTGAACTTTATTTGGGGTTATTCAGAGGCACTTTAAATGATGGCAGGTGTGTACTGACTCCTGTTTAACATTATTTAGATTTTGTGATTGCTTAATTCTGAACACCGCTATATCCACAGTTATAAGAGGGTGTGCACACTTATGCAATCACATGATTTTTTTTTGTTTACTTCCCCCCTTCCTCCCCTCCCTAAAGGATTTCAGTTAGTTTTAGGTCACATTAAAGGTGGAAAAAGTTCTGAAATGATTTATCTGTCTCATTTTGTTTACATCACAAAAACCTGACAATTTAACAGGGGTGTGTAGACTTTTTTTATATCCACTG